GCCCCGGGGCCGAGGAAGCTAAGCTACATGTACCTCTTTCATTGGCGAAAGAGCCTTTGTTTGGGGTTTTACTGACATCAGGGTTTTTATCTTTATTTATCTTATTCTATTTAACAATTTTCTTATTTCTAGTCTTGTTTATTTTTCATATTATCTTAATCTTAATTTTTTAAAACAGTTTTCTAAAACGCTATTTATTTACTTATATTCTAATTTTAATTTTTTAAAATACAGTTTTCTTATACACTAATTATTTGCTTAAAGTTATGCTTAAATACTAAAACAGGTTTTCTTTTTCTAGTTACAATTTTTCCCTTACAGTTTTAACTTAATATAATCTTAAGTGCTATGGCTAACATATTTAGTTTTTATTTTTAGCAATTAGTTTTTTAACTATTTTTTGTGCAAATCGGAAAAACTCGTCTGGTCTAAGTAAAACTAGGTCTTCGAGGTTTTCCGATTTGGTGTCTATTTTGGTATTTTGTTCCAGGTTCCATCTTTCTACGTGGTAGATGGGGCACTCCGTAAGACAATGAATAGCTGTTTCGGGAGTGACCTTATCACACTCACATGTCGGATCATTCTTACATTTATATTTGTGCAGGTAGCTGCTAAAAGCTCCGTGTCCCGTGAGAATTTGTGTATTCGTCTGATGGTGGTTGTTAATTTTATTATAGTGGAACGCTATTTTTGGGCTCGGAAAATAGAGTTTTGTGACAGATCCATTCTGTGATGTGCTGTATCTGTCACACCACTCCTCCACACTCTCCTCCCGAATTATTCTTTTAAGTGCGGAAATAGGACATTTTTCATAGGTTGGTTTGATTTTTAACTTTAGTGCCGCCTCTTTTGCTAATACGTCTGCTCTTTCGTTTCCTTTTAGACCTATATGTGCTTTAACCCAAAGTAAGTTTACAGTTTTATTATTAATTTCGAATTCTTTAAATTTAGATTTTATTTCGTATACTAACTGATGATTAGAATTTAGTTCTGTGATGGCTTTAATGGAGGAGAGTGAGTCACTGAGAATGTTGATTTCCTCACCCCATGTATCAGAGAGCGCTTCCAGAGCTTTTAATATCGCCAATAATTCTGCTTGGTATACTGAGCATTGGTTACCTAGTTTAAATTTTTTATTTAAAATCTCTTTTCCGTTTTTGTAAACTACATATGCAGCTCCTACTTTACCTTCAATTTTGCTACCGTCTGTAAATATCTTAACCCCGTTTATTTCGTTTAACTCTTTTTCCGTAATTATTGATCTAAATTTTAATCTATTTTCTTTTGCAGGATGTGGTTTTAATTTATAATCTATTTTTATTTCTGGCTCTACGTCTTTGTAAGCATTCTCAATTCCTTTTTTAATTTTGTATAGTTTTAATATTTCTCCAATTTTTAAATCTAATGGCAGAAGGCCGGCTATTGCTATTGATGCTTCGTAAGACACTGTTTTATATGCTTTAATAATTTTTATGGCAAACTTTCTTTGTATTTGCTTGAGTTTGGTTTTGATGCTTACTTTATTTGCTGCGTCGCCCCAGGCTGGTGAGGCGTAAAGAATGATAGGCTCTATTACGGCTAAATAAATAGTTTTGATAATATCCGGATTTAGTCCCCAGTTGACCTTCGCGGCTTTACTGACATAGTTGTGCAATTTAGTAGCTTTCTTTATAGTATTATTTATATGATTTTCGAATGTTAATTTTCTATCTATTGTAAGTCCTAATATTTTTATTTCTTTATCTATTTTTATTTTTATATCATTCATTATTATTTCAGGGTTTCTATATTTTAATTTGTTTGTAAATACTATGGCTTTAGTTTTGTGCGGTGCAAATTTAAGTTTATTTAAGATCCCCCAGTTATTGACTACTTTTAATATTTTATTTGCTTCATTCTCTATTGCCTCAGCGTTATCACCCTCAAAAATAAGAACGACATCATCCGCAAAAGCTTGTGATTCACATCCTTCCTCTCCTAATTTTTGAAGAAGAGTGTCAATCACAACGTTCCAGAGGACGGGTCCTCCCACTGATCCTTGAACACATCCTTTATTAGTGTTTTTTCTAATTTTTTCCCCCAAGTAATTTAATTCTATGTATCTATTATTAAGGTAACTATCTATGATTTTTCTTAAATTTATGGGACATTTTAATTTTGCTAATCTAACTATTATTTGCGGCCACCATGCATTATCAAACGCCCCTTCGATGTCTAGGGAAATTAATGTAATGATCTTTTTATTGTTGAGTTTACGTTTTATGTTATTTATTAATTTGAAGAGTGCATCTTCTGTACTTCTTTGTGGCATGAAGCCGAATTGATTGATACTAAGTTTGGGGATGATATGCCAGTTAATTCTTCTGATAATGAGTTTTTCTAAAATTTTTCCCATTACTGGTAATAATCCTATTGGTCTGTAAGATTTAGGTTCTTTATAATTATCCCTTCCAGGCTTTTTAATTACTATAATAGTTGCTTCTTTCCACAGTGTCGGAAAATACCCTAGTTCTAGGCATTTGTTCACTATGTTGAGGTATAATGTTGGGTCAGTTTTTATAACTTCTTTGCAAATATCTGCTGTCAGTCCATCTTTACCTGGTGCTTTCTTAGGGTTGAAACTATTAGTGACAGTAATTAGTTCGTCTAATGTAATTGCTGGGTCTTTAATTTCATTTTCTTTAGCTTTATTGACTTTTTCTGATTCTCTTCTAATTTTTCCCTGCTCCATGTTTTCTTGTTCTTGAGTGTCTTGAGGGTAAAATGTTTCAGC